GGCTCCAAGTGACTTTCTGACTGGTTCCAGTCACTGATGTTCTTCTCCAGATCTTTGCTGAGCTCCTCAGACGTTCTACATCACCAACTTTCTACATCACCAAAACTGATCATTTAAGTTGCTGCATGTATATTTTTGATCCAACAGATTTTGTCATATTTCCAAACGAGTTTTAATAAATCGATGAAAGAAGCAAAACTCATGATCGTCTTTCATGTGTTTAAATGATTCCATCATAGAAAAGTCAGAGTTCTACAAATCACTGGAAACTCAGGACCGACACCATATATGTGGTCTTTACAAGTGTATTTAAACTTTTGTTCACAACTGCATGTGTGTATTTTTAAGTGTAAAAAAGCTAAACAAACATCTATAATTTGCTAATAAACACAGAGGACATACTTTAGTGAAGAAACCCAACAGAACACATGAAAGTGGTGAATGTTCATCTGTGAACTCATATTGAAGATTTATTGATGATGAAACAACACAAAGGTCACCACATGACATCATCATGACATCAGAGGTTAAATCATTACATCCTCGCCGTCAGCTCTCTCTTTGAGAAGACTCATCCACTCCAAGTTGAATGTGTCCCGCAGTAAAAGCTGACGATAGCGAGTCCGTCCTATCACACAGGACTTTGTCTCTTTGAAAGAAACTTTTGGCTTAAGGACCTTCCAGGTCCTAAACTCTGCTTCAGTCCCTCTGAAACAGATGAGAACAGTGAGGAACACCCCACGCTGAACATTCCAAATATTCCAGGACTGTCCATCCGGCCCTCTCCGCCCCCTCCTGGACAGACGGCGAGATGGACGGTGAGTGTTTTAAAAGCAGCTGCTTAAAACAGAATCAAACCAACAGTAAAATCATCCTGAGCTGCAGAAACAAAAACTAAAACCTTTCAAACAGTTTGTTCTAATCATGTGTAAGACACAGCTGAGGACGTCTGTCTGTCTGCCCAGCATGTCCTCCTCAACCCTCCAGCTGCCACTGCTGCGCCTGCGAGGCATCACATATCGCCATGGAGACATAACCCTTTGGTCCAATTGGCTGAGCGACAGCGAGACATTGACCAACCGAGACCTGGTAGAGACGATTGGACTTCTGCAGGAGACACAGACAAACAGATGAAAGACAGACAGGCGTGTTCTCATGGCTACCAGATGAGTGTGTGTGTGTGTACAGTTGTATACAGGAGCTGGTCACATCAGAATCAGAATATCATGAAAAAGTTGATTTATTTCAGTAAAACCATTCAAAAAGTGAAACTTGTATATTACATTCATTCATTACACACAGACTGACATATTTCAAATATTTGTTTCTCTTAATTTTGATGATTGTACCTGAATACTGATGAAAATCCCAAATTCAGTATCTCAGAAAATTAGAATATCACTGAAGACGGATACAAAAAAGGATTTCTAGAAAAGTTGGCCAACTGAAAAGTATGAACATGGAGAGTATGAGCATGTAGAGCACTCAGTACTTAGTTGAATGACTGCAGCAACGCGGCGTGGCATGGAGTCCATCAGTCTGCTCAGGTGTTCTGAGAGCCCAGGTAGCTCTGATAGTGGCCTTCAGCTCTTTTGCATCATTGGATCTGGCGTATCACATCTTCCTCTTCACAGAACCCCATAGATTTCCTATGGAGTTAAGGTCAGGCCAGTTTGCTGGCCAACTAAGAACAGGGACACCACGGCCCTTAAACCAGGTCCTGGTGGCTTTGGCACTGTGTGCAGGTGCCAAGTCCTGCTGGAAAATAAAATCTGCATCTCCATGAAGTTGGTCAGCAGCAGGAAGCATGAAGTCTTCTGAAACTTCCTGGTAGACGGCTGCATTGACCTTGAACCTAAGAAAACCCAGTGGACCAGCACCAGCAGATGACTTGGAACCCAAACCATCACTGACTGTGGAAACTTCACACTCGACCTCCAGCAACGTGGTTCTGTGCCTCTCGTCTCTTCCTCCAGACTCTGGACCTTGATTTCCAAAGTGCACCATTTACTTTCATCAGAGAACAGAACTTTGGACCAGTCAGCACCAGTCCAGTCCTTTGTGTCTTCAGCCCAGGCGAGACGCTTCTGACGCTGTCTCTGGTTCAGGAGTGGCTCGACACAAGGATGCGACAGCTGAAACCCGGTCCTGCATACGGCTGTGTGGTGGTTCTGGAAGTCCTGACTCCAGCTGCAGTCCACTCTTGAATGGGTTTCGTTTCACAATCCTGTCCAGGGTGCAGTGATCCCTGTTGCTTGTACACTTGTTTCTACCACATCCTGTCCTTCCTGTCGCCTCTCTGTTGATGTGCTTGGACTCAGAGCTCTGTGAACAGCCAGCCTCTGCAGCAACGACCTTTTGTGTCTCGCTCTCCTTGTGCAAAGTGTCGGTGGTCGTCTTTTGGACAACTGTCTGGTCAGCAGTCTTCTCCATGGTTGTGAGGCTTACACAACTAGACTGAGGGACCACTTAAAGGCCTTTGCAGGTGTTTTGAGCTAATTAGCTGATCAGACTGTGGTGTCTTCAATATTGAACCTTTCAACTATATTCTAATTTTCTGAGATACTGAATTTGGGATTTTCATTAGTATTCAGTTATAATCATCAAAATTAAGATAAAAAAACATTTGAAATATGTCAGTCTGTGTGCAATGAAGAAATATAATGTACAAGTTTCACTTTTTGAATGGAATCACTGAAATAAATCAACTTTTCATGATATTCTGATTCTGATGTGACCAGCTCCTGTATATGTCCATGAATGAGTGCATCTCAACCAATTAGAACATTTTCCATCACTTATTGGAGGAAAGTGGAAACTGTATATATGCAAGACTCGTTGCATGTAAATTATTTAAAACGCTTGTTTAAATTTTGGTAATAATACCTTCAAAAAATGTAAAATCTTAAAATATTAAAGGATTTCATTTTGAGTTTAAGTAAACAACTATTCAGACAGTCCAGCACTGTTTGTCTGTGGGTCTAGTTCAGTGATGAACCTCGGTCATGGCTGCTGACCTGAAGGTTGTCCAGGAGATGATCATCAACACCTTCAACAAGGAGCCTCAGGAGGCCTCTGCTGAAAAGCCTGTTCCAGACAATGAAAGCTGACTGAAGGTCAAAGTGAGACAGGAAACGGTGAAGAAGCAGCAGAGATGATCAGCCTTCAGAGGACTGCAGAGAAAAGATGGTTCCAGAACTTTAGTTTGTTTTTTTTTGCAGTGAGAGAGAGACAGGAAGTGGGGAGAAGAATGACGGAGGGCCATGAGCGGGATTCGAACCCATGACCTCCACATGGGGACTGTAGGCCTGTACGTGGGATGCCAGCTCCAACAGCTGAGCCCCAAATGTTTGAGAACTTCACAGGACTGAGGCTGGGGTCAGAACATCCAGAACCACCAGACGTCTCCAGGAAAGGAGCTACAAGCGTCACATTCCTGATATCAAGACACTCCAGAACCAGAGACTGCCAGAACATCTTAGCTAGGCCGAGGAGAAACAGAACCGGACTGTTCTCAGTGATCCAAAGTTTGAAAACCTACTTTTCATCTGGAGATCAAGGTCCAGAGTCTGGATGAAGAGTGGAGATGCTCAAATCCAAAGAGTCTGAAGTCCACAGTGAAGGTTCCTCAGTCTGAGACTATTTCTGGTGTCATGGGTCTGCTGGTGTTGGTCCACTGAGTTCCACCAAGTCCAAAGTCAGCGCAGCTTCTAGCAGCAGAGTTTCTTCTTCATGCTTCATCTGCTGTCAGGCTTCATGGACACTGGTTTCCTTCACAACAGCAGCTGATCAGACACAACTACTGACAAAGGTTCTGAGCAGGACGTTACGCTGCTTGACTGGCCTGACCCGAACCCCACAGAACCCCATATGAGGCACCGTCAAGACAAAGATAAGAAATACTCGACCCAGAAATACAGCCGAGCTGAAGGCGTCCATCAGACCGACCTGAGCTTCACCAACACGGAACAGAAGCTCCGGCTGATCTCCTCCATGACACACTGATGCAGGAAAGGAGCCACGACCAAGAGCAGAGTGCAGAACTGAACGGACTTTTCAGATGGTAAAACCTTTTATTGACAGTATAGAACACATGAAACTAGAACTATTTCACAACACTGTGAGGCTCTGGGAAGCGTATATGTAGAGATGAGTGTCTCACCCCCAGTGCCCACTGCTGCGACCCCCCTGAACCATGACACTTCATTAGTCGAGGCGGGTCGAAGGTTCTGACTTCGGACACGTCCAGACACAGCAGCCCTGCCAGGACCAGCTGACCCTCCTCGTCATAGGCCCAGTCCTGCACACACAGTTTACGCGAGTGGTCAGGATGCAGGTGACAGGTTAGACCGGTGTGCTGTGTGCGGTCATGTGGTCACCTGTTCGGGATCTCGAGAGTCACATGGTCGCAGGACAACAGCTCCGCCCTTCTGACTGGCTCGGCCCTGAGCCACCAGACAGCGCCCGGTTGCTAGGTTACGAAGCTGGAAGAAGGACGCTCTGGTGTTAAAATGAACACAGGTAAGCAGAACAGTGAAGGTGCCGAGTGTGTTCAGGTACCCGTCCTCGCTGCAGGACTTTCGGCCGCCTCATGCCCTTGTTGATGAACAGCGGCTGTTGCTGCTGCTTGTTGCCGTTGGCGACAGCTTGCATCTCAGGGTAGACGGTGTCCAGGTACCAGCGAAACGAGCGACACTGCAGCCGCTGCCGCAACGCCACGCGCTCGCTGATGTCACCGTAACTGCGGTCACGCAACTCTGGACGTAGAGACAGATACTGTTCCTGATAGGAGGACAGAGACCCAGGAGGCGGGGTCAGAGGACATCTGTGAGTATGTGTGTGTGTGTGTGTGTGTGTGTGTGTGTGTGTATTAATGTGAGTATACCTTGTACTCATCCATCCACACGTGTGCGAGCCGCAGAGAATTATGGGCCATGGTGTCTTGTCCACCTGGCGAGCCGTAGGGCCGCCGCTTCCTGAAAATGTGGCCGACTCTGGAGCATGGAACGATGATCAGCTGACCGCCACACATCCAGATCTGAGGTGAGACACACACACACACACGTATTTATTTATATATACACACACGCACGTGGACCAATAGCTGGTAGCCGTCAGCTAATGAAAGAAAAACCCACAACGGTCACAGAAATAATCTGACAGAATAATAATAAATACAAATTCAGTGAAAATGAACCAATGAAACCAGACGTTGCTTTTGAACTGCGGTTCAACAGAATTATTTAAAAAAATAAACTCATGAAACAGTTCTGAACTTCATATGTTGTTGCTCAACCTTTTGAGGCGATCAGACGGTTTCTGTA